CGTATTATTTAAAAAACCTTAAGATTTAGGTATTATAAACCTTATTAAAACATACACTTATTTTGTTCAGCGAATCCAAAAATGCAATAATATACAGGACATTTCATTTAAAAAAACGCCACTTTGATACCTTTAGAGCCTTTGGGACACCCTGTACATTAGAAAAATATTTTTAAAATGTGCGCTCGGTATTAGTCGGACAATTCATAAAATAATACTTTTTAAAAATCAAACGGTTTAATAGCAAACTTCCGTGCCGTATAGCGTGAATAACCCTGTATGCCTACGTTTGTTTGTTAAAAGGTGTTAGGCTAACGGTTTGCGAGTTTTCTTGGGTCATTTTCAGACAAAAACAGTTTTAATTGCAAACCTTTTGCCGAAACCCCCACTATTCGCGTAATATCTGACTAAGATTGTTTGGATTTATTTCGATATAGTTTTCCTGCATTCATTTACGCCCTTATTCCATATTTTGCAACTTGTGGCCTTTTTGTAGCAATTTCTTTATCTTATTAGATTCCCTTTGCAAGCCTCAAATATTGCGTTTTTGAGCCGATTTGACTACCGCTCATAGACCACAAATTAGCGTATTTATTGTGCGAAAAGTCTTTGGTTTACATTTTTACGAGATTGTGTTAACTGAATCCCTGAAGCTACTTGGAGCCATGAAAATCGACGCTCCCTTGCAGTTTGGGTTTGAAATTGATCCGGACTTTGCAAAAAAATCATCTTTTCGGATGAAGCACATTTTTGGTGGGCATCTGAATAAACAAAAGTGTCGTTTTTTGGTATGAAAATAATCCTGGTAATAATTTGGTATGATTTTGGAGTTTCAACCAGATTTTACTAAACGCACCATAAACACCAACAATATCCAGCAATGCAACTGTTAATTAGCCTCCAAGAAGATCTGATTTAAGGCCACTAGACTTATTTTAGTGCGAATCTCTCAAGTCCTTGGTCGATTSACTTGTCGAAATATTGACGCGCTGAAAAAAGCCGTATTGCTGAATTTAGAGCCGATTTATTGGAGAAAATCATCAAAAATTACACACTTCAGTACAAACAACCGATTCCTTTATATATCAAAAATTGGGTCCGAATATATACAGGGTTATTCACGCTATACGGCACGGAAGTTTGCGGCTAAACCGTTTGATTTTTAAAAAGTATTATTTTATGGATTGTCCGACGCCTACCG